GTGTTTACAACTAAGAAGGACTGCCTAAAGGATAAAGATGTATCTTTCTTTTTCCACAACACTGATTGAACTCTGATAAAACATGTTTTCACTTGTTTCTTCGATGTACTCTTACACCATGAGATAAATAAATTACACAGTAGGAAGTAAATGAGAAGATTTTATACTGATAACTGTGTGCATGCTTCAGTTTTCCCTAGTGTTTTGCTTGCCATAATCCCTGCTTTAAAATAAATGAGCACAGTTGTACACCTCTACTCTCCCACAGTATAAAACAGATCTTTTCCAGAAGAACTTTTCTTTTTCTATTAAGTTTCATCTTCATCCTTCCTTTGGAAATTCCTTTGGAAATACAGAATTATACTAAAATTTCTCATGGTCATAGATAAAATAATGCTAAACATATGTACCTATACTTTTAGCTGTAGGTGGAAAAGTCAGTGCTCAACCACAGAATTTCACTAGCCTTTTGCTTACTTTGCTTTCTCCTATTAAATGTTATTGATTTCAGTTTGCATCTCCTAATGACTATTATGCCAGGGGCAGAACTGGGTGACAGTGAAATCCAGTTCTATGCTCCTGCTGATAATGAAAATGTGCTAGTAGCAGACCAGATAGCTTAAATTACTGCTAGTCTGAGTATAAACTTCATGAGCTGCCTGCCGGGAAGGCAATCAGCACTAATGGACTGACTGAGCCTGTCTTGCTCCTGCTGCCATCATATTGTCATGGTGGAGCTTTGCTGTTTGCTTCCAGCTGGGATAGGAAGGAAAAACCAGAGGACCTGGCAAGCTCCAATGAAAGGTAAGTATTGTCAGATAAAGAACATTAGGAGAAGAACTCATTTTTTGAGTTTTGAGCTCTGTACCTTACATCATCTCCTGTCATACCTCTGTGATGGAGAGCTGGGCACAATGTAGGGTCTTCAGCACTGACGACAGAAGGAGTATGGCAAAGTTTCAATTACTTGTTTTTGCTAATGACTTTGTTTCTCAAGGAAAATAATGACAAAAAGCCAAATTCTTCCAGTAGTCTACACACATGTTCACCTTACAGGCCAATTAACAGACAAATATTTTAGCTTCATTACTTTATGCAGCATGTTAGAGGCTTTAATGCCTTACTGATGTTTTAATCATAGTTCCCTCTGTACAACCTTCGACTTATGAGCACAGTTAACTACATAAAAATTTTAAATTTGCAAAATCAGGCTTGGGGATTAAAAGGCAGGACTGTCAGCCATGTCCCTGAGGATTGTCTTATTTTTGTAAATCTGCCTGGAGGGGTTTCAAAAGCTTCTTTTCTTTCTTATCTTCACTTGCAAACCTAGTGATCGTTTTGATTTTTTTTTATGCTTGAGTTTATAAACTCCCAGACTTCCAGAAAAGAGAGTTTCTTTAAAACCACGTGTCCTCAGTAATAATAATTTATAGGAGGAAAATGTAGAAAGCCTGTGATCCAGAAGCAGAATTGGTTTTCTTTTCAGCGCTCTCTCACTGTCAAACATTACACATAAAAAATTAATCCCTATAATTTCAGTTGTTCCTATGGAACTAGAATTTTAACTAGCGACCAAGTATTTCTACAATGCCTACTCATAACGCAGTTCAGTGACCCGCTTATGATCAGGTTAACTATCCTTATGCTTCCTAATTGTATTCAAGGACAATCTGTGGTGAAAGTCAGCCCTTCACAAAAAGCTGGCAGCTTCATCTCTTCTGGGAGAAGGAGCCAGGCTCTGATGGTCACTTCCTGTCAGCCATCTGCTAGCAGCACAACATGCCATATAACATTGCCTATGGAAATGTATATGCATGTGTGCAAGCACATGACATGCACAAACAAATAGATCTGCACATAAACTGGATAGAATTCTCCTTGTAAGGTTTATTCTCTGAGGCTATTGCCTCAGAACAACTTTATGTTTGATCACAGGCATTTGAACTGTCTGAGCAAAGCAGAGTGATGCTGCTTGGCACCACTTTGTGCACATTGCCCTACCTGCTTTCCCTGCATGCCCCTCCAGTGTGCCTCCCATAGAGAAGGAGGTGGAAGGCTTGACTGGTTGCCAAGGGCACAGTGCTCCAGAAGAGCTAGTCAAGGGTAAGTGTGGCTTGGTTGGAGATTTCTTTTTCACCACTTTCTGATGTTTGATGAATGAGACAGTGTGTGAATGTGAAAAAGTTTACCTTTTTTTTTTTAAAGAGAGATCATCCTTGTTGCTATACTAAAACATACTTTTATTCTTGAAAGTGACAAGAAGTTTTATTTATTTTCTCATTACAAGATAAATTTATTTCAAATAATCTTCTTTTTACTGACCCAATATGAAAAGACAGATGTGCTCAAAGTAGTGGATATTGAATATCATTGACTGATAGCAGTTTCCTGGTGTAAATGTGCAGTAGCTTTGAAAAAGCATCTATTGTGAGATTAAATGTGGTCAGAATCAAACAGCTTTATCTGTGTCTATTAAAAAAGATGAATGGACAGTGCCTCCCTCTCCATGAATCAAACACAGAGGAGCTGAACATCATAAATCTCAGCCACCATGAAGAGCCAGGGAGGGGAGGAAAAGTTTCTTTCACCCTATGGTTCAGTTTTGCTAATTTTATTTAAAACCTCGGTCATAAAATAACAATAAAGAAAAAATATGCTGTAGTGTGTTTAGGGAAATTAATTCTGCCAGGAACCAACCTTAGAATTTCAATTGTAATTTGAGGAGCTGTTTCAGACCTTTTCAAAAGGATTAGCAGTTGTAGCATTCAGAAAGTGAGATGACTTCAATATTCAATACTGACTGACATCCAGCCAATAACAGACCAGAAGCCATTTTCAGCAGAGTGTTTGTTCAGGCTTACAGCAGTCCTTTGCCTCCTCCACTGAGAAAACTGCTGGGCTCCCAGCAGCTATGTCAGTAAAACCAAATTAAATGTACCTGTGACCACTTTCTGGCATCAAGATCAGTTTGACATTGCTTGTGTCTAAATTATACCCTCTTGTACCTCCAAGGTAGAGTGGCTGCAAAACTTCCTGGTAGTGGCCCCTGGCCTGTAGCAATTCTTAGACCATGCCTATGACTTGCTCCCAGGGAGTGCAACTGCGGAGAGTGGTTGTTATACCAAATCAAGCTGTGGATGACGTTAATAATTACAGTGACGCAGTCCAGTTTCAGTGGCTGAGAATTCCTCTGATTAACTTGATAGCATAGGCTTAAAATATATATTTTAAAAAATTCGATCACTCTGGGATGTGCTGGACCACAGCCCAGTCCTGTGGTAATAGTTCATCCAGCAGAGATACCTGTAAAATGCCAGAGCTTTAAAGGCAGTGTTGTAGTTACACTAAACATATGGTACTACATTTGTACTGGTATAACTGGGAGAAGAGGAGGGACTGAGGAAATGTGGGATCTTTGAGTCTTGTTTGAGATGTTTCCTACTTTTTCTCATGAATTTGAACAGTACCATTAGTATAAAGTGCTTAATGTTAAAACAAAATGTTTAACAGCAATAGCTTAATGAATATTCTAAATACAGAAGTTTTGTGAGTTGTATCTTGCAAGAGAGGATAGTGCATAAAAGAATCTCATTTCTGCATCTTCAGTTTTGTATTGAGACTTCAACACTAAAGTCTTTATAGATTTTTGTACTCTCTGAATGGTCATCTTGACTTAAAGTTCAGTTTGCCTCCTTTTTTAATGGCAGAATGATGGGAAGTAGTTGAAGAAGAGCAACATAAAGAATTAAAAGCCTTTCTCCTCTTTGAGGCTGAATCATGGGGATTTTTTTCTTCTTTTAAATAAGGAGAAGACCAGGGTCATTTAGCACTTGGATACAAAAACAACAGCTCCCAATATTTCCAAATAATTACTAGTCAGCCTTCCTACAGAGAAACAACAATATCTTTGTTATCTCATTTCTGAGGATTGCAGTTGGAATAATAACCTCAAAATGAGAACCAGAAGCAGCCCAGAATGTGTATTTTTCCTCACAGATTGTGCTCAGGAACTGACTCTTTAATGCATGAATAGAGAAAGGCAACAGCATTCTATTTTACTGCATACCTTTGTTTTACAAGGACACCAAAAGAGCATAATATGACACAACAGTAAAGTCTTTCTGTGATCTTCATTATCATAAAGTTGCTGCTTACATCAATATTATGGTATAAAAAAAAGGGAAAATACACGAGCCACATACCCATATGGAGATTTGACAGCTTGGTAGGAGCTGATTCTAGCAGGCATAATGCCCATCCTTAGAGCTGATGGCAGAAATACTGGGGAGTATCATGTATCAACCCTTCTTCATCAAATAACCAGAGATCTGACTATCAGAAAACTACTGTGTCATCATCCTATGCTCAGACAATCATATTCTTTCTCTTGCCTGATTAAGTGTGAAAAAAAAGAAGAAAAAAAAGAAAAAAAGAGGAAAAACCTGATATTTGTCATCGCTGATATTTTCCATGAAATGTTGTAGTGTATTCAGAAGAAAATCAGCATGTATATTCAAATCTCTACTCTTCTGATAAGACATGAGCTTGTGTTTGAAGGTACTCTACTACAGTACTGACAGGTAGTACCTTTCCCAGAGATTGTAGATCCACCATTCCTAATGCAGAGCTTGAACTTTGAGGGATGCAGAATTGTTCTGACTGTGGATGACTTCAGAAGAATTTGAGAAGTGTGGCATCTTCTAGGAAAAGATTCAGACATTTTATCTGCAATACCAGCTCACTTTGCCTACTGAAGAAGCTTGTTGGAGTCTGTGCTGGTTCCCTCCTGCTCAGTGGAGGGACTCTTAGATGTGAAGGAGAGGGGTTGCAAATGTGTCTCGTTTGGTGCAGATATTGGATGTAGCTGGGAAAGTTTTTTTACTGAAGTTCTGACCCTGAAGACTGGAGAGCTCTTGAGGTACTCGGCATCAGATCCATACTTTGATAAAGTAGCTATTTCTGGATCCATTCTCCTCACTTGAAAATACGTGAACCAAGCTCTTTTCTCTCATTACTGGGAGAACTCTCTCCTTACTCCAACAGCTATTTCATGACTTTCTGCTGGCTCTGGGGTCTGATGGTGTGGTGGGAAAGGTGATTGTCAATGTGGTTATGCTGTTGGCAGAATATGCCCTCCCTAGCATGGAGTGCTGCATGGGTGGTAAGACACTTTCTTCTCTTCCAATCAAGGGGTCTGTGTGACTTGCATGAGCAGATAAGGAAGATCCTTGGTGGACAGATGCTGTAGAAAGTACTCACGTGAGAAAACTGGGCTTTGAATCCTGCCTAATGTTGCCCTATGCCTAACAGATTGTCTAAGTACATAAATGGCTTTTTGTCCATGCAATAATTATAGCCATTAGCAAGGGATGGGCAATTATGGTAAGTAACATAATTATCTCAAATTCAGAGGTGAATGCATGTGACAGTAGAGAAGCAGTAGGATATTTAGTATTTGTCTAGAAGAAAACAGACAACTGAGAAATAAATTAGCAGTGAAATGCAAAGAGAAACTTTAATGTAAAAATATCTGTAATGTTTCACAAAAGCCCAGTGGCTCTCCAACCCATGTTTATCATGGGTATAATGGTTTCATACATAACTAAGGCTGGCTGCACACAGTGGAATTGATTTTACCTTGTATGTATCTGCTCACTTTCCTTCAGTAAAAAACTCTCCCTTTTGAACAGAAGAGAAAAGGGAGAGCATGAGCTATTGCAGTTTTTCCTCACAATTTGCACTCTCTTATGAAATCCGCATTATAGCAGCCCAGATAGCAAGCAAGAAATGGGTGCTTATACCAGTGTACTGTTCCTTGTTAAAAAGACAGACTCTCTAGGAGGGTTGTAATACAGGAAGTTCAGAGCAAAGAATAGTAAATAAAATGTTTCCTGATTGGATGTCTTTGGTTGCTATAACTTGTTACTGGTTTGTTTTTTTCTCAAAGGTAGAAATTCACTTCCACAGTTTTTTGCAAAGATATTTGGCCAATCTTTCTCCTTGTATAAGGAATTTTTTCTATGCATCTCTCTTCTTTATGATGGGATGACATCTGCTCCATACTCATCCAAACCCACTAAGTCCCTTCTGTACTGGTATCAGGGAATGACATTACTGGCAGTGGATGCTGAGCATTAGGGTAGGAAATGAAGCTGGCTCAGGATGAAGAGGTTGTGATATATGAATGGATGTTACAGGACTCGAGTGAGGCAACATCTGGACCTGGATTAAAAGAGCAATTTAATTACTCAGCACAATTCAAATGAACCATTAAAAGACAGACAGTACTGAAATAAAAGGAAAAATCGCTTTTTTCTTTGCAGAAAAAATTAAGCTTTTATACCACTAGTCTGTTTTGCCATTGACAGTGCTGCTTCATTCATCAGAGGATTTTGTCAGCCAGTGCCATACGACTTGTCAGTCACTTGTCAGCCTTCTTAGGCTGAGGTATGGGCAGACATGGCAGCATGGAGCTCTCTAATTGGCTCGTGAGAAGCTTAGTTAATGGCTGCAGTGTAGGCATACCTTCATTTTGATTCCCAGAGGCATGTAAAATGCTCTGCAAAACATGCAATTGACTTTTGCATAGAAAATGATTTCCTTTCTTGATATACTTCAATGAAAACCTTGTTTCAGTTTAGGCTTTCCCACAACAAACTGCAAGCTAACTGTACAACTTGTGGGCCAGAATGGATATTTTCAACCTACAATAATTCAGCACACAAATTTTAAGGCCCATAAATGTTTTGTTAGCTGAAGTCATGTTGTTTTTTTTTTAGAGAACTGCAACTTAACTGGATGAGTCTCTTGACTTGTGAACAGCCAGTAAGATTCCATAATCTTTATGTGCTTCTGGGAGCTGAATGAAAGCACCAGGTGTACATCATCGGTGAGTCAGTACTAGTGGAAAGTAATTAATAATGGTAAGTGAACAATTTAAAACCTACTGTTAAGAGATGTTCAAAAGAAAATAGTACAGTTCTTCACTATAGAGGCTCAAAGAACTGCAGTTGCTACTGACAGATGAGCTTTGCTCCAGGATCCTCTTGAACATCCGTGTAAAAAATGGTGGACCCAGTTGCAATGTTTTTAGGAATTAAAAGACTGAATTAGACAGATACCATTGTCCAATAGTATCAGAAGTACAGAAGCATTGCATAAACAGCCAGGGGTCAGCTTCATTCCTTCTTTTTATTTGAATTGCATAGCTCAGGAAACTCAGCAATGTGGAATTCATCCCTTCTATTGATAGACTTGACTGAATAAAACTTATGGTATGTATGAACTTGCTTCTTCTTACATGTGACAAAACACAGGTTAGAAATCAATTAATACTGTGATGTATTTACACATTACCTTTGCCCCCCTTCAGCTGTTTCCCTAAAATATAATGTGTACATCAACTTTGTACTGTCAGAAGAGAATTACTGGGCTATAGATTCAGACTTGAAGAAAGCAAATATCCTGGAAATGTTGTGTTTGTAGAGGAGCGCCACCATTCTCCTTGAATAGGATCAACAGCAGGAAAAGATGGGGTCCAGCTTGAGATGTCTATAAGCCCCTGTGTCTGCTGAGAGCTGAGTCTTCAAAGTCATCAGCATTGATCAACAAGGCTAGAGGATACACATATTTGGAGCTGAGGCAGGTAATGCTGTTAACTTCAAGATGCTGGTAAAACTTATGTTAGAAACCTTCCCATTACAACACCTGAATTCAGATTCTACTGAAGTGTAGGGAAGTTCAAATTTCTGGTAGCTTCTCAACTTTTCATCTTTAGAAAATAGATAAGCCAACACCAATATCCAGAATCAGTTATTTTGAAGGACTGTTGATTGAATGAAGTCTTTATGGACTAGGCTAGTCTTTATACCCAGGAGCAAAGCTGTATCATTAGGTTATCATGAACAGGACTGAGCCTGAGCACAGATAAAGGACTGACGTAAACCCTCAGATGAATGAAAGCATGTAGAGCTTTCTGAATTAAAAACAGAAATAAAAATGGGTCAATGAAAATAGTTATCCAAGCTAGAAGAAGGGCTAAACACAGGGGATTAAGCAGGCTGGAGAGGCTACGGATGTGTGACCCAGTCAAGTGTGACAGACCCTGCAGCTGCTATTACTGGAAATGAGCTACAGCTGTGCCAAACTCCATGGGCAAAGCAAGGAAGGGAGGTTCCTGAAAAAGTTACTCGATGCAAACTCACACAGCTTTTTTGCTGTCCATGTTTTCTGGTTTGCCTGTTTGCTGTTTTTCGATTAACCTCTCCCTTGCATATAAGAGTTCAGCAATTGTCTGAAGACTGAAGCCATGGTACCTGTAGCCTGTCACCATGCAGTTAAGTAGGTGTTGAGAGATGGTGGCATGTGAAGTATGCAACACAGAGGTGAACAAAGATAAAACCTCGGTAAATTGCCATAAGATGCACTGACATGAAGAACCGTGAAGAGCAGCATAGGGTTAAGAGTATACAGATTCCTCTGATATCTGATATTCCACCACCTGCACTTTTCCATTCCAATTTCAGAGCTTGAGCTGTGCTTTTGCCTCTGTGCTGGTCTCATAGAGGGCATATTGGCAGCTGCCAGGACTTGAGATAGCTTGATAGCCCTCTGCAAGGATTATGAAAAAGTGAACATTTTAATACATGTACCCAAAGATACCAGTTTCCTTAAAGGCTTTCCCGACCAGCTCATGTCAGCCCTGATTTGTGCTAAGAACTTCTTTATTTTAGGTATGAAGGTACATGTCTCCTTTTAGATCATGCACATTTTTAGTGAGAAGGAAAGGTGTGAAGGGCTGTCCTTGTGTTCAGTGGGGCTCTCCCATCACCGCTGATGCACTGGAAACAGTCCTTGGCAAGACAAATTTTTACCCCTAGGTAATAAAAAGTCACATTGAGAGCACTGTCACAGCTTTTAGTTAGTACAATTCCTGATACAGCCAAAACCTTTCTCTGGAGCGGATCCTCTGGTCCCTCCTCATGATGAGGGTGTAGCCTTATGCAGGATTGCATCCAAATTCAGTGGGAGATTTTCCATTGCCTGCAGTGGCCTCTGAAAGGGGCCCAAGGGTGAAATCAATGATGTTTCTTGCTCCACAGTCCCAAGAGCACAAACAAATTCTACTGAAGTGTGTATGAGACATCTGCATCCTGTGGGAGCACACTCAATGTTTCACTGACAAAAGAGCTCAGCTAATAAAGTGGCAGGCTCCTTGCTGTATGAGTGATAATAGCAAAAACATTCCTGAAGCAGATCTTACCCTTCTTCAAATGAAATTTTTGTGTACTGAATATCCGGAGGTACGAATTAAATGCTAACAGATTATTAATTTATGAAGCAGCCTTGGAGGATTTATGCTGCAAGGCTCTCTGGGTTCTAAACTGGTTACTCTTGGCACCCTGGCTTGTCTGAGCCATTTCTGTCAAAAAATGCCTTCATATGGCTGCTGAGATTGCTTTAGAATTGATTATGCAGTTCAATATAGCCAAAATAAATAAAATATTTTAAAATTTCAATAACAGTAGGATTGACATTTGCAAGAGCAATGAAAAGCCAAGGGAAAATCTGATATTGGGCAAGACAGCTCTCATGTCCAACCTGGGAGCTCTCCCCAGGCTGCAGATAAGTGCTGGTGCCTCACGTGTTCACGCTGCAGAAGCAGGCAGCTTCAATGTGACTAAGAGGAACAGCAAGCACAGCTTTCTGCCTTGCTGTGTGCCTGCAAAGAAAATTTCTACAGCAGTTATGTAGTTGAGTAAATTTATTTTATGAAATACTTATGAGATGTGATTTAACAGCACTGACATTGAAAAATAACTCCTGTTCTTTCCCTTGTTTTATGTAAGAGGGAGTTTTGAGGCAGATATATTTTTGCATGGTGCAGCTTTTTTTTTTCTTAATGGTCATTTCCTAATCAGGACTCATGTGCCCCTATCTCTTAAGAGTTCCAGAATCTTGGAAAGTCCACAGTACTTCAAAAGCTTGATTTTTCCTTAGTGACACCAAGGGAATGTAGGAAAAATCTAAAATCCCCCAGATTAGAAAATATCCTAGGAATACACATTTTTCTGACTGGTCCTTGTCATCAGATGTCTTTATCTTCAGCTGCAGTTCTCTGAGAGATACTGGGGTTTGCAGGTTGCAGAGAAATGTCTTAGTTTAATTGCACAGTCTTGACAGTTAGGGATTTGGAATTTGCTTCAAGTCTTCACGAAAAATCTTTCTAGCAATTTAACCTTTATTTAAAAACATTTCCTCAGAAGGAATTACAAAGGGATTTAGGACTGAATTCATAAATAAATTTGCAGTTGTGATCAGAAGTCTCCTTCACAGTTGCTCATAGACATGGGATTTAATTTTACATTTTGTACCAAAAAGCTGTCTAAGCTGACTAAGAAAGGTGCTTCCCAGATGCTGGGAGGACTTGGCCTTGCTTGTGTGGTGTGACTGATTCACAGCTCAGGGTGAGAGACTTCTGCACTTAACTGTGGTAGGACAAGTTGGAGCTCCTGCAGCCATCTCAAGGCTTCTCCAAATGGAGGCAAATCTCTTTGTTTCCCCAAAGATGGATGTATGGGGCTGAGCTGAAGGTACAAGACAAGGGATTTTAGAAGAAAGATGTGGGAACATCTCTGAAAAATCGATCTTAGCATGAATTCTTTTTAGGCAGTAGGATGGGAGAGAGCTTAGATCACTGTTCTGTTACATGGCTTAGTAGATGTGTTTTGGTATCTCATCTTGACAGTTGGACTTGACAACCTAGGAGGTCTTTTCCAGCCAAAATAATTCTGTGATTCTATAATTTCCAGGGCAATAACAGAAAAACCTGTTTTTTCTTGGCCCTGGAAAAAGTGAACTAGAATACAGCCAGTTACTTATCCTGTCATTATGGTTACTGGTACAACCACCTGGACCTATGAATAGTCCTAGAGCTCACCTGTGCTACTCTGCTAGCATCTTGCAGTCACAATTAGCAAATGCCACACTTCTGCTTGACAGGCTAGTTTCTTTCTCAAGTCCTTTTCATTCTTCTTGGTTTGGACACCCTCAGTACAACAAATAAACACAATACCTAATCACAATGGTGCTGGTATGTTCTGTATTGTGCCTGCTGACAGCTGGAAATGGAACTGAAACCACTCTCCCATTCTGCACAGTGGATTAAAACAGCAGGCAATAAAATTAGTCATGCTCATCACGAGGCTGGTGTTTAATTAATGACCTAGCAGCAAAAGGCTCCCAGCTGATCATTACAACAGCTTCTAGAGATTCCTTCAGCACAGTTTGCTGTGTAAGACTATTGACATGCAGACAGTGTGCAAACTGACTGGGAAAAATGAAGTGGCATCAAGAATGTTTTGGCTGTATTAACTCTGAATATGTCCTTGCTGCCCTGGGATTTTGGTCTAAAACACAATATTGTTTGGAGGTAGTCTGTAGCTTTCAATAACAAATTCCAATAAAAGGAAAGGAATAGAATACTAGCAGCCAATAGTTGTAATTTGAAAGAAGACTGCAAAAAATATATTTTGCTTGCTTATTTTAAAGGTAGAATTTAAGGAATTTAAATTTTGTTCTTAAGTCCTAAAGATAATCAGAAAAAGCCATGTATATCCACTGGCTGATTTATTAGAAAATTAGATCAGCATGCTGCCAAACATTCAGATTTTGGACATGTTTTCATATTGATTCTTGTGATGAAGATCACAGATGTATCAAGGGCACATCCCACAGTATTTATCTGCGCCTAATATGTAACGAGTTCCTTACCTCTGCATCTTAAAGGAATGCTATTTTTCTCTGGTAAAAATTAAAAATCTCCTTCCCATTACAGAGGTACAGAGGTAGAGGATTTGGGAAACTAAACTTATGGGATTCTGACCTTCT